TGGGGAGAGGAAATGGGGGCAGGATGTGTGATTGGGTGTGGAATGATGACGTAACAGTAGAGTTTAATTGTTGGTTATCTCTAGCATGCAAATTAACAAACTGTCCGGCCTCTAAAATTCTTAGTTCCTTTTGAATGGCACTTCGCAATTGATCAATTGTCCACTCTAATGTTTCATGTTCTCGCGCTAAATTCTTTCGAAACTCGTTAGGTAATTTTCCCAGTATAATGGGTACTAATAGATCACCATATGTATCTTGACCTTTGCCAATTGAGGCAAGTCCTCGAATATGCGTTTCTAAAGCAAGTGTCATAAACCCCTGGAAAACTGTCCAGTTGCTCGGTTGGGGCCGGGATTTCCAATAAAGCTTGCATGTGCGCATCAACAATTTTATGCCGCTGTCCAAATCTTGCCTTGAGGAGGTTAACAGCTTGCTCATAGGTGTTGTTAGTCAGGGGAAATCCTGTTATAGTTTGTAAGGCGCCTCCCCTAAGTTGGGCTTTCAAATAGTTAAAACGTTGTACGCCATTGAGAGAGGAGTTGTTGTGTACGGCACTGTCGATTGAGTCCCAAAAGGACTGCCATTGAAGGGGGTTTCCAGAGAATACTGGAAGACTCAGTTTTGGGAGTCGACAAGTATTTTGCAACAGATGACTAGTGACTGTTAGTTGTGGGCTAGAGGGAACTACGTTGATAGGTGAGGGATTACTTGGACTTTGGGGAGAAAATGGTGATGCATTTGGATTAACTGTTGTTGGTGGGGACATGTGAGAATTATCTTGCATGCGTTCTTGCGAGTTTTCTTGTGATGCGCCTTGTTGAGGGTGTTCATACATGGGTTCTTGCGAGGGTTCTTGTGTTGTGTTTTCTTGCAAGGTTTCATGCGTTGTGTTTTGTTGCGGGTTTGAACTTGCTGTGGAGAGGTGACTTAATTCTTGGGTATGACTTGATAAAGAAGATATTTCAATGTACTTACGTATTTGGCTGATGTTCTCTTCTAAGTCGTAATTTATCTCGTCGGATTCAAATATTTCAGCTTCAAGTTCCTTAGGATCTTTTATTTCTGCGGCAATCTTCGCGTCTAGTTCCCCTATAATGTCCTTTTTCTTCGTTAATTGTTCGACTGCTGTTTTCAAACTCGCTAGCGTCATATTTCCGTCTGTATGCGTCTCAGTGTTTAGAACTTCGTTTACCTTCTTTAAAACCTTTGTTACGTGTGCTTTGTGTCCCCTTCGTGAGGCCTGTAGTCGAGCGATTTCTTCCATGTTCGAATTTAGCTGGTCACGGCACCAAATAATGTCGAGAAAGACAACCTGTATTTATTGTAATATATTTATTGTAAACCGCTCGATAAACATACATTTTGTGAAAAACTAACTTCAACAACGTGCCTAAAACGTTCATTTGAGTCCACTGTCCGACCGCTGGCACTATTGCGAATACTTAATGTAAAGAACAATATACTAATATACTCTAAATGTTCCTAATTCACGACAGTCCAAAAAACACGATTCCATACTTTTTGCACAGAGTACTACACAGATCAGAAGTCCATCTCCTTTGTTTTTTTGCGTGAAGCTCTATTCGTCATGATTCGTTACGGTACTTGTCGAGTGACGAATCATGACGAATAGAGCTTACTAAAAAAACAAAGGAGATTGACTTCTGTGTAGTATTTCTGTGCTTTTGGCTGCCAGTTCACTCATTCACATTTGTCAGGAGGAGAAAATCGCTGACAAAATTGCTAGTGTGAACCAGGCTTAACCTTAAAGGCCAGGTTACATTTAGGGTTAAGATAGCCCCATAAACACATAAACATTGACATGTAGGCTAACATATCCGTGAGGAAACCATGAACTCACCTGCATTCATGAGCAGGTGACACCCACATTTTGGAATCATCACCCGCATAATTAAAAAATGGCACTTAATAAATTCACCCGCATTCATTGAAACTGATCACACACATAATCAGATGATAATTTTGTAGGCTATATGCTGAACCAGCCTTGTGCTTAGAACACGATCTCAAAGCACATTCTCTATTCTGTGGTAGAACCATAGAAGATAGATATTTATTTTGTTTAGTTTCGATCAGTCGGTTGCGACTTTACGAAACTTTGTGAAACTTTTATTTACTGTATTCTGTAACTTCACTCTAAATACATTTCAGGACTTCACATTACATTTAAACAAGAACAGAGTGAAATGTTGTAACGTTCTCTTTTTGGCTAGAAAAGCTAGCTAGTTGTTATTGGCATTGTGGTTAAAGGTACTTAGGGTTCACATCTCCGTTTATATCTCTTTTGCGTCGGTTTTCTTTGATCGTCCGAGGTTTATAACTAGCTAATATACCTTGAATAAATAATTACATCAAACTTTTCGACAAAACGCGAGAATTTTTCATCAAAAATGTTTGAAAATGACAAAATATGTTAGAAAACCTCCACAAATGAGATATAAGTTAGTTATAAACCTCGAAAGTCGGTTTATAACTGATATTGCGCTCGGACGCTGCGCGTCCTCGGGGGCAATATATCAGTTATAAACCTCCTTCTCGGTTTATAACTCTAACTTATATGATCTTGGATGGGTGTGATTGGACAGTTGCCAAGATCCTAGTAGCTGCTCATAATATATAAACTTGCTGAATGTTTATTATGATCCTTCCATCCTGCCTAGGTGGGATCCTGATAGTTACCTTATATTTATAGTGAAAAATTCCCATAATCATTAGAGGGGACAAACTTGCATTCTGTGCATGTGAAAATGCATTTCTGTAAAAAATACGACATCAAGCACTTAGAATGTTAGATGCAATTGGTTCCATTCCATATCAATGTTTTTGTCCAGATAAACATGCCTGGGGGAGTCTTGGCTAGGGATGAAATGTCAACTGAGGTTGCGAAGAGGTTTAAGCAGGGGGTGTGGGTGCATTCGACGACAAAAGGGTGTGATATCTGGCAGCTTAGTTAAGTGACTAGCTGATAATTTATTTTGTCCTAGGCAGGGCCATGCATGGCTTCAATAGTAGCCTGCAAACAGGCATTTATTCAGGTGGGCCTAGGTTACTAGGTCCACCTGAATAAACGCTTGTTCGCAGGCTACTTCCATATGGGACCAAATTTTTGTAAGTGCTGTTTTAAAACTTGAAGTGGCATATGCATACGTGTGTTACAATTCATAAACATATGGATGGTGGTATAAGTGACTGCTATTTCCGTGCCCTTTCTGCGACTTGCCCATTTGTATATAGATGCAGAATACAATTACTTTAGGTGTTTCAATCATAGTTTTATTTTAATTAATTAGGAGAGTGGGTATAATTGTTACACATTATATAGAGGGTCCTGAAGGGGTAAAATGGGAAGTGGGATTGATCTATTTTAGACTGGGAAAATGGGATTTGGGTTGCTGGGACTGGGATTTGGACACTGGGAATGGGAAATTAAGTTCTCAAAAATGGGAATGGGATTGAGGTAATGCGAGTCGGTTCCCAATTTTTCCACGTTTTAAGTATTTTAAAATACAATTTGGATCTGTATTTGGTGTCTTTCGTCATGATTTTTGTTGTTAACTATATTATTCACAGCACTACCTGCGAGCAGGCATACTCTGGCGCCCGGAATTCTGGGTTTTCTAATATGCGTGTCCCCAAGTCAGATGCACAGCGGAATATATGCCTGGTTTCCGGTATATACTTCATTTAGCCCGTAGTATATACCTCAAAGGCAAAGCACAACAAAAAATACCGTCATGTCGGACATGTCGGAAACAAGTTACTCACTGACGAAGTGGTCCGAAGTAAATCCCATGTCCTCGATGGCACAATAATTCCATAAACAACATCTTATTATTAAACGCCGAGATTGCGCGCTTGGTCGATTCACAATCAAGACAGGCAAAAATTTCACGTCTATCTGAAACTACTTGGTCGTTGGTAGCGAAGAATACAATGTGCGGGCTTGGGCGCATGAATACATGCATACTGATACTCAATTAACATTAAGAACATTTTATAACAGGTGTAGGTATAAGTACAGCACATCAGTGACGCCAATGCTTATTAACAGTTATAACTTTCATACGTCCATAGATCATACCTATTCCGAATGCTTAGTATTATATTAACATTTGTACAGAATCGTGTATACGTTTACACTCAAGCCTATTCCCAGTTGTCCATGTTCTTGTTTTAATCAATATCTTGGATTTCTCCAGTAGAATATGTTTTCAGATTTTGTTTTGTACTATTCCCATTGCTGAATACCCTATTACCTTGGTCAATCAATCAATCAATCAATCAAACTTTATTCACCCACGGTACTATTTCACAAAGACAAAAACTAAAATATTTACAAGATGTGATCTTCCAATAGGCCGTGCTATATAAGTATGAAAAATTACATGCAATTATAAAAATATTTTATTAAGTTAATACAATAAAATCGAAGAGAAAAAGAAAAAAAAGATAAATTGATTATCAAGAATTATTACCACTATTTGACACTAGAGCCCTTTTGAAGGTTGACAATGAACCCATATTTTTTATATTAGGTAATAAATCATTCAGGCTACAGCTCCTCTGTACGAGAATGATTTTTTACAAAAGTTGGTACTTGGCTTCGGGAGTGCAAAGTTAAATTCAGCCTGCCTAGTTTGATGATTATGAAGTGTACTGGTTTTCGTGAATAAATCAATTAGGTAATCAGGCACCATATTATTATTTACCTGATACATAGTAGTACATAATTGATTATTTCTTCTGAGACTTAAATTAGGTAAATCTAATTCTTTAAGTATATCGGCTGATCTAAATTCATACCCACGCTTTGTAATGATACGTGCTGCTCTATTTTGTAAACGTTGCAATTGGTTTTGAAGGGTAATTCCAAGACAACCCCATACTTGCGAGCAGTAATCAAAGTGTGGTTGAATTAAGGTTTTGTAAACTGTTACTAGAGTCCTTACATCAACAAAATCTCTTAATCGTCTAAGGACTAAAGATCCTTGTTCACTTTCTTTGTTATTAGATCTGTTTGAGAATGCCAGGTTAAGGTCTCATCTACCATCATACCCAGTGATTTAGTAACGGTTACTCGTTGAATAGGCGTATCTCCAATTTTTATTTGCAATTCGGAGTTACACTGTTTAAGTTTTTGATGTGATCCAATAAACATGTATTTAGTTTTGCTTTTGTTCAGGCTCAGCTTGTTGGCCGCCATCCAAACTGAAATATTTGCTAGGTCATCATTTAACGTTTCAAAAATTACTTTGACATCCTTATTTGCCGTTCTTAATTGAGTATCATCAGCAAACATGTTACAATCCGCACTTTTTAAGCAATTTGGCAAGTCATTTATGTAAACAAGAAAGAGTAAGGGTCCAAGAATTGAGCACTGCGGAATACCAGTAATTATTGTTCGTGGTTCAGACAGTTTGCCATTAACTTGACAATACTGGGTACGATTAGACGGATAGGACCTAAACCAGTCATGCGCCCTTCCTCTCACTCCATATAAATATAATTTGTTTAATAAAATAGCATGGTCAACGGTATCAAATGCCTTTTTTAGATCTAAAAAGACAACTCCATTGATTAACCCTTCATCCATATTTTGATATCAATGGTTTGTCATTTTTAACAATGCAGTAACAGTGGAGTGGAGAGGTCTAAAGCCATGTTATGTTAGTATGTTTGCCCTTTGTAAATAGGAATAGACCTGGTTATGTACTAGTTTCTCCATTGTTTTGGCAATTACCGAAATAATAGATATAGGTCGATAATTATCCATATTAGATTTAGGGCCACTTTTGTAAATTGGGGTGACTCTTGCATTTTTCCACTCACATGGAAATATGCCGGTGGATATAGACCTATTAAATATTGTTGTCAGGAATTTAGCAATGTAAGGTGAGGCCAGTTTAATAAGTTTTGCTGGTAATCCATCTAGGCCCGATGCCTTAGTAGATGATAATGATGATAATAACTGGCAAACTTCCTGTTCAGTTATTTCACAGAAAATAAATTCCTGCATTGATTCACTGATATAACTCTCTGGTGGAATAGAGCAACTTGAGATGTTTTGGGAAAGAATGAATCCAAGATCAGTGAAATGATTATTAAATGCATTAGGTATGCCTGGAATATTAACCATTTCACCATTCTCGTTACGGTCTCAGTTATATTTTGAGATTTTTTTGATTTATGAATCAAGTTATTAATAGTTTTCCACATGTTCTTAGTATTTCCTTGATTATCCCTAATCTCAACAATATAATGATGGCGAATGGACGACTTAATTAATTTATTATAAGAATTTCTAGCTGATTTGAAGATTTGCCAATCATTTTCATTTTTAGATTTCAAGGCCTTTTTCTTTAATAAGTTCTTATTTCGCTTACTATGAAGTATTTGTTTCGTAATCCAAGGGGTACGCTTCTTACCGATTTTAAGTGGTGCATGTTTATCAATAATTTCAGTAAATTTATTTTTTCAAATATACCACATTCGGTTGGAATCCGTGTATGAATCCAAATTATGGTTTTCGGACGATGCTATATATCGCGTAGGAAATTATCTTCATTGAAATTTTTGAAATCACGGAACTCCAAAATATGTTCCTCTCCTTTTAGCGATGGGAATGACAAAATGCCTACATAGCTAGTATCAATGCTTATTACTCTGTTACGCGTAATAATAGCAAAATTGCATAACTAACGGTCTTAAAACAGGCATCATTTGGTCCTCGACCTGCAGTAACGGGCTTAATTCAGTGGCAAGCCGGAGACAGCACATTAACCGCTTCTGCCACACGGTGCGCACACACGGTGGCTTAAAAGTCTTAAAACTGTTTATTCTACCGATTTTTTTATTGACTGGGATTTCAATAACTCGGACTGGGATTTCTAATAAAAATCCAACTGGGACTGGGATTTTGCCAAAATTTCAGGTGGGAAATAGGATTGTGACCCCCCTTCAGGACCCTCTACATAGCATTGGATGACGTTTCTAAAAAACCACTCCCCTCTTCTTTCCCTCTTTGATAAAATTAATGATCAATCCTTAAATGTAATTGTCTGGTTATAATTTCACTTGCATTTGAGACAGAATGTTTTCAGTTTGAACAGGCTGGAACTTTTATTGCATAATCACATGTTACAGTACCAGTGGTACTAATGAAAGGCCAAAATCACTTTTTGTATGTGCATGGCTACTCATAGCAGTGTTGTGAGACCTATAGATATCTCCAAATATTCATGGTTTTTGCCATTATATAAACAAAGCTAATAAAATACATACAATGATTGTACTCATGAGTATTTTTATGGTAACTTAATGCATAGAGAACTTGGTCGTTTTCCATTATAAACACAGTCAGAAGCATAGGCATACCGGGCGGGGGGGGGGCGGTAGCCCCCCCCCCAGTTTGTTGGGCAGTCGGGCAATATTCGATCAACAGTCGGACAATTTTGGTTTGCAATTAAAAAAAATGGGATTAATTCTGTCAATTTTGTCTAAAATTAAGTCAATTTTTTGTTTTTTGTATAATTTGTGTAGTGTTCCGAAAACCCCCTAAAATGGTAAATTAACCGAAATTTTTTTGGCGCCGGGGGGGGGGAGGGGGGGGGGAGGTCGCCAATATAATTTTTCCGGAAAAAAATTTTCGGTACTAGTCGGGCACAATCCCGAAAGGTCGGGCAATTTTCTTTCCGCCCACCTAATTTTTTCGTTCCGGTACGCCCATGGTCGGAAGACAGAACGGTCAAATTGTTGAATCGAACACAAAACGTTTGGGCTTCTGACCGGAACATTTAGATAGAATTAGAATGAGGTCCGTTTTCGCTACATATTTGAGAAACAGACCAGATCTTTCCATTGATACGGAGAAAAAAATTCGGGTCTGACCGGTCAGGCCATTAAATAGAAAGCGCCCCTGATCTATCAGATAACATATACTGTAGCTTCACATAAAGAATGTTTTAAAACATTAGCCAAGCTTGCCAATAGAAAGCAGCTAGCATATGCCCTCGGCGAATTCTATAGCTGCCAGTTGCTGCGTGTATGATAAATCATACATGTACTAACATTTTCAGTGTATGTTAAAAGAAAGCAAAAGCAACTTAAAATAAAGTATGAAATACCCAGAAGGTGGCTCTATCGTAGCCTGATACGTAGACTTTCCAAAGTCCTTTCCAGACCCTTCTATGGCGCGCTTCACTTCCTCTGTGGAAAGGACTTTTGTCACTTGCAGCGCGCCAAATATCACCGGTGGAAAAATCCACCGGTGACGTCATTGTTTACATTGAAGGCCGAAGCGGTTTACGTTTATATTGATCATTATCGAAGGAGTCTAAAAATAATATTATATTCTCAGGCTTGTTTGTTGAACAAATATTTATTATTGAAGCAAACACTGCCAAACAGAGTAAACAATGTATAAATACAATCTTGTAGAACACAAAATCCATGTAAAAATACACAAACGGCAAACATTACATCGAGTATGAGTAGAGGGTGTAGAAATAAACATTAATACTGTCACCCAAAATGCATGGACCTGATGATTCTAAAATTTCCTCTCACTAGTTTCGGGTTTAGTTTGGGTTTCTTGATCTCGATTACTAATTATTACAAATTCGTTTGTTGAGAAAACAGGATTTACTGGATTTTGAACTCTTCTCGCAGTTGATCACAATCGCCGCCTCTCTGCTTGTTGGTTACAGTCGTCTGATTCTTTTCAATTAGATTAACTTCTACTACCTTAAATCGCTCTCGAACTGAATCAACTTTCAATCTTTAATAAGTCTAATAAATTACTATTCTTGTCGACACAATTACGGCACACATTGTTAGACAAACAACTGTCCAGATAAGGGACCGGTCAATATTTGTGGCTGGGGGTGGCACCGAAGAGAAAATGGTTGGGTAAACAAAATTTTGAGTGAGTAAAAGGTTGGATAAATGAAAAACAAAACAACTCAGGGCTTGGGTAATAAAAAATTATTGTCATTTCCAAAGCATAATTCACTGAAATATTGGAGACTAAAAAGCAATGTCAACAGTAGTCAGTCATATGTCAATACAATACCGTATGTGAATCAATCAGAGTGACTATCTCTTGATAATTTTCCGATTTGTTGGGAAACAAATGGTACCTCCAAAGAAAGTATATGTGCAGACAACATGAAACTTTAAACTGCAGAAAATTTTACAATCCGTTATCAAACTCATGTGACAGAACGTCACACTATTGTAAAGTTTTTGGCCAGGGGTCGGTATTTATTTTTAAATTGATATTTGAGGTTGGGTAATCAAATTTTTGACTTTTTAATGGTTGGGTCAACAAACTTTTTGCCACGAAAAACATTTCTCTTCGGTGCCACCCCCCAAAATAAATAATGACCGGTCCCTAACAGATTCAATACATTTTTACACGCACTTGTTTTTGTTGATACATTAAACAGCTTTCGGCGCTTACTTGGGTCAGTTATTTCGTTTCCACACTCGGTGCAAACTGTTTCATTCGAGGACAAAGAAATATCAATTCTTGAGATTGTTTTTGTGTTTTTGTAGACCCATTGTAGGTGCGCGGTGAAGTAATTCTGTAATTGTATGAAATGTACACACCCTTTTTAATATGTCAAAATTATTCGCGCCAGAATTTTTAATGCGATTTAAATTCCTGCAGGCGACACAAGTCGACCACTAGCGACTTCGTCGCTCGGGTCGCGCGCTCCCTCCCCCGCGCCCTCCTTCCTGCCCATGGTCGACTTGTGGCAAGTCTACCTGATACGCAGTAGCTACCCAGAAGGGGCAGTTGGGGGTAATCTTCCCCAGACCTTGCTAAAGGCCCCTTAAAAATAATTGTACAACGTAACTGCATGTCAATTAATAAGTCTCCCAGAATGCAGGATATTATCATTCCTGAAACCCAATGGCAATGTCAAAATAAGAACAAGATTGTTGACATTAAATTTCAAAACTTTTCCTGGGGACAGCATGTATCCCTAATGAGGCGGCTGGCCCTTTTATTCAAACTTGATAACTTTGCTTTTATTATATTTTGTAGTGATGGATCCCGTTCTGTTGCAACACCATTTCATTTATCCTGGCTTGCTTCGCTGGAATTTCTTAAAGTGCCTATATCAGGGTCAGGGAAATGACTTTTCCTGATAGTTTAGACGATTTTAAAGAACATTTGCAATATATTCGACTAGACGAAAATTTGATCTTCATGGACGTTTTGGGCCTCAAAGTTTGTGATTTTTCGAATTACCGCGAGCTTGAAAGTACTGGTAACTAATCGGCGTTAACCCGCCGGAAGTGACGTAAGAATGAGAACACGCTAATCTTGCAAAGTATCATAACAATAAAACAGTATAGAATTTTAGTCCAAAATATCGTCCGATTTTTTCCGTTTAATAACATTTTGGATTAACGTTTCGTTTAAACAATGTCGTCAAGTTTTTCCGACAATACGGACAACCAACTTGATTCGGATATGAATTAAAATTACCAAATTATATAATGAAAATCGAAGATGATGCAGTTCAGCCTCCCAGACAGCTCAACACAAAGCGATGAAGACCAGTGGCTTACAACCTTACCAAGGCGAACCGATTGCTGATCCAGCTTGGATAGCTCAATACAACGAAGAGAGACGTGCCGAAAAAGAGAGAAGACAGCTGCTTATGTCTCGCTTGAACGAAACCGTCCCCGTATCAAATTGGTAGGTGAAATGTATACACTATATGTGAGCTCAGAGACAGAGCTCGTGTTTACATTCTGTGTAGACGCTACGGCGTATACGCAGGCTAGTGTTATTAAATTTGCCCATTTAATACGGAAGTAATTAGTATTCAAGCGAATGTATGTATGACGTCATATAGTCAATGACCTCACCGGAAATACTCGCATAAATTATCAAGTATGAACGTTCAGCTATTCCCGCATAAATTATGAAGTATGAACGTTCAGCTATTCCCGCGTAAATTATAAAGTATGAACCTATGAACGTTCAATTGTATGTATCCGGTTTGTAAGCATTACGTAATTGTATTGCACATGTCTATAAAAGAGACTGCGCATTTATTCACTGATATCATTGCATACTAAGCCTTTGAAAATGAATTTTTCACAAAATTTTGAGCAATCGAATTGGGCCAACAGCGTTCATGCAAACGAAGTTTCGTCCTCGGATTATAAAAGGCTTTTTAGTTTGTTAGAAGCTATATATGCAGAGGCTGTTGCTTACGAAGTTGGTAAACTTGCTGAAGAGAGATGTTGTGGTTGTGAGTACGACCATCCGAGTCAACGCCAGCATGACTGTCTCATGTTATCAGAACAAGAGAGATGGCAATCGTATGGTTTGGAAGCCATAGAGCGAGTGATTGTTAAGCGTATGGTTTGGAGGGAGTTTGTTGAGGCTATTAGAGTGATGAAGTTACAGTATCATAAAGATGTTCGAGAGCACTTTGACAATTTAGAGAAAAGTCCTGATTCAACGTTTGTTTACTCGCTGATGGATCTTCGTGAAAACATCGAGGATAGTGAATTTGAGTCAATTTTGAATTATCTTTCATACTGGAGAGAGGACAAACTTTTAGACGAAATTTCTAGCTGGAAAGAGGATTGTCGTGATGACCCGCTTGAACCTGGGCTACGGTCTTTTTTTTCAATGCCCCCTAGTTTTAAGTATACTGTGAAAGCGACAGGCGAGCAATTTAGAAGTCATGAAGAGGATCATTATATAAAAATATTTCCCAGGAAATATGGATTTTTATGTCACGCCTGGATTAACACGATTAGATGACATAATAGCTTTATCTTAATCTATGGCGCGCCGGTTGAAGAGGCAGGAAATTTCAGTGCCTAAAACTACGTAACAGTGCCAAGATCAAGGCCGGATTCTTGGTATATAACGAAGATATAGCACAAGTAATTTCATAAGTCCACACGACTTGTATCAGAGCGAAACACTTGAACTTATTCTTCGACTTCTTCCTGCGTACTTTGTCAGGTTAGTATATCTTTCATTTAAAGTGACGATACGAGTCCATTTTTATTTGTTATGGCTTTGTCTCGCCCCAAAGTTCTTGTTTTTGGTCATTCTTTTGTCAGGCGCCTGCATCGGGATTTGAAGACTCAATTTGATATGCGGGCTGCCTTAAATTTTAATTTACCCGATGTCTCCATTAAACTACATGGTATTGGGGGACGGACGGTGGACAAGCTCGTGAAATGCGATTTCGGATACGTTCAGAAGTTCCAACCCAACATAGTGATTTTAGAGGTTGGGACCAATGATTTGCCTTTAATAAAACCCGAAACTGTGGGTTCCAAAATAGACGACTTGGTTCATTTATTGCTTGGGGTAACTTCTATCCGAGTTATAGGGGTTTGCTTGGTATCTGATCGAGCCTCCTCCCCTGAGTTTAACGCAAAAGTTAGGATTCTAAATCAATACCTAACAGTAATATTTAATGGCATGCATAACGTTTTTTGTTGGAGACATAAGGGCTTCACTCGCTCATTTATCTCACCGTTTTTACCCGATGGCGTACATTTTACGCGCAGAGCTCAATATAGTTTGTACCGTAGCTACCGGGGTGCAATACTCAAGGCCATACAGCTACTTTAAACCAGAGGGGTTTATTTCCTCTATATGTTAAATAATTGGAGGCTTCGCCCTCGAATTTAATCTTGTACATTTATAAAGAATGGAGGCTTCGCCCTTCATGTCATTATGTTATTACCAATCACACTTCGCTGTGATTTTATCTGAGGCTTCGCTCTCAGTCCATATGTTGTCACCAATCGCACTTCGCTGCGATTTTAGTTGAGGCTTCGCCCTCACTGTATCTATATGTGTTATTATTTATGACCAATTTGTCATATGTCTTTTGTTTTAAGTACAAATTTTGGGCTCAGTGGTGCGGTCACCTTCGTGTGGCCAGGCTTGACCCAACCAATTTCATTTTACGATTTATTGATTCTCATGCGCAAACCTATGCGACTAAATCTTTAGCATGGCTGTGTTCTAATAGTTTTTAAAGTCATTTCTTTCAGCTCATCATGCCGTCCAACCACAATACACGTTCAAAACGCACAGCCACAACTTCTGTGCCCAATCAACCGCCTTCTCGGCGCCCTCGTAGGAGTCGTTCGTCAGCGTCAGTTGTCGTTGACAACCACACTGCCCGCAGTGGCTCCAGTCAATTTTGCTACAACATCAACGGGACCAAGTTCAGCCATTTCGCCTGCGCTACTCGAGCAAATTGTGTCGACCGTAACAGCAGAAGTAACTCGCCGCCTAACACCACTCTCGCAACCAGAGCTATCCGGTGAGGTTATTGAAGCTCCAGTGGTCACTACTACCTCAACTTCAACGGTTCCACGACTGCCTGGTTCTGCTGTCGTCGAGCAAGCGTTACATTCTGCCCATTCAGCCATTACAGGTGAGACATTCTCTGCTATACCCTCATTGCCTGGTCAACCGTACCATTCGGTAACCTTACCTCTTGACTCTCGAGTTTTCACGAAATTAAAGAACAAGATTTGGGACGATAATTTTATAGATTTTGGGTCTCTGTTGAGCAATCCAGTGATGGATAATAAGTTTCAACTTAGCGTCACGCCTTCTAGTGATGGTCTCGCTTCATCACTTTCACTTGATCCGGTAACTAAACCACAAAAGGTGGCTAGTATTTCGATGTGGATGAGCGCATTTCGTATTTTTGTCGGGGTTTATACGCAAAAATATCCTCATGAATCACCTGCGTTGATGAAGTATGGCGATATTGTGCAGGATCTGGCGGATCGAGGCCACAATTGGCGTTTTTATGACGAAAACTTTCGTTTTTTGCGACAAAGAGAACGCAGCGCACTGTCCTGGGGTAACGTGCACTGGGAATTGTGGCTTAGGTCTCAATACTCTCCCAATAAACCAGCCGCCCAAATGCAGCGCGCTGGGGTTTCTGCTAACAAACAGCCATTTCTGAACGTACCACGCGGTCATTGTTTCAAATTTCATAAAGGTGATGAATGTTCCGGCTGTGAATTTAAACATAGCTGCTTTAAATGTGGAGGCCCGCACCCCGCATTGCGATGTAATTTTCGTGGCTTTTCAAAAAAGGAGCAATTTCGAACTACCAGGTCAAACCAGCACAATATCGCTTCCAACGCCAATAAAACTAAATCATCTTAGATATTTTTTACAAGGTTATATTTTACAGGATACTGCAACACCTATTTCAGGTTTTACTACCGGTTTTTCTTTACATTTTCACGGCACTATAAATCTTAACGAAGGCAAGAATTTGCCTTCCGCGTTAAATAATGAAAGTGCAGTTGATCAAAAATTATCTAAGGAATTAGCTGCTGGCAGACTGGCCGGACCTTTTATTGCGGCGCCATTTCATCCCTTTCGAGTTTCTCCCCTTGGTCTTGTACCCAAAAAGTCTCCTGGCGAGTTTCGTCTGATTCACCATTTATCTTTTCCTCGCGGATCGTCAGTCAATGATGGCATGACACCTGACAATACGAGTGTCCATTACGCCACAGTGGCTGATGCTATTCGTTTAATAAAGGCTGCTGGGAAAGGTTGTTTTCTCGCGAAAACAGACATTAAAAATGCGTTTCGTATTATTCCAATTCGCCCAGAAGACCATTGTTTACTCGGAATGAAATGGCGCGGCAAGTATTATTATGACCGTCGCCTACCTATAGGCGCAGCGAGTTCATGTAAAACTTTTGAAACTTTTAGTACTGCCATTCAATGGATTTCTCAACAAAAACTTAGCATACCAGCTATTCTACATTTTCGTGATGACTTTTTGCTGGTAGCTGCGTCCTATGATTCCTGCTTGACTCAGTTACATCGATTTCTCAATTTTTGCCCTTTTGTTGGTTTACCTATGGTCCCAGAAAAGACATGCGGTCCGTCAACGACGTTGTCTTTTGCGGGTATTGAGTTAGATACCATAAAACTTGAGGCGCGTTTACCTTTAGATAAATTACGCAAATGTACTGATTTTATCACCGCATTTCGACAGCGTAAGAAAATCACATTAAGAGAATTGCAATCTTTAATTGGCCTCTTAAATTTCGCCTGTTCTGTCATCATCCCAGGACGGGCATTTTTGCGTCGCTTAATTGACCTCACCACGGCATCCGTTTATCTCATCACTTTATTAAGCTCAATCGCGAGTCAAAAGAGGATTTAAATGTTTGGCTCACGTTTCTTGCCAGTTATAATGGCCGGTCGTTTTTTATTGACGAACAATGGGCCAATTCTCAGCAACTAAGTTTATTCACGGATGCTGCGAGTGGTGTCGGTTTCGGCGCAATATTTGGCTCAGAATACTGCTATGGTTTATGGCTTGATACATGGCGGCATCGGAACATTGCAATTCTAGAGTTTTATCCGATTGTACTGAGTTTATGCTTGTGGGGTCATAGGATGGCAAACCGCAGTGTTTTGTTCTTCACTGACAATGAGGCTCTGGTTTACGTCATCAATAAGCAATCATGCAGGGACAAAACTTTGATGCAATTTGTTCGTAAGCTTGCAACACAATATCTTATTCAAAGCTAAACATATTCCAGGGACGTACAATCGTTTGGCTGATCTCTTGTCTCGCTTTCAGGTTCAAACCTTCAAGCGCGAGGCACCAGCCTCGATGAATGTCTGCGCAACGGGCATCCCTACAGTTCTGCTGCCACAAAATTGGGGGATATTATTCCCCTCCTAACCCAGTCAAGCCTGCGGCAATCCTCTATCGCTACATATAGGCAAGCGTGGAGAGTTTTCGACCAATTCCATATTCATGTTTTTGGTACATCTTCCTACATATTGCCTATATCACCTCACATTGGCTATCTTTAAAACAGGGAACGGGGAATCGGGGAATCCGGGAATCGGGGAATCCGGGAATCGGGGAATCCGATAACAATTTTATAAAAATTTAAATAAAAATTTTATTCAATTTACAATTTATGCAATAAAAGAAAATGAAGCTTAATCGAAAGTTTGACGTCACACCAAAATTGCAGGACACGAAGTCGTGAAAAAAAAAACAGTTTAATACTTTTAAACGGGCATTTAATGTAAACTTCACGCAGGATATAAACTAAAGCGAATGTGTAATAGCCATGATTGCGCTAAATTAAAGAGTTTCGGTATGCATTGTCGCCATTTTTTGTTGGCACTTACATGTAATATAATATTTCATTGCTTTGATTGTGATTGCGATTGTCAAATATAATAGCGGTAACACGTTTGCAAGTCGCTTTTTCCTGCTGACATTCATGATATATAATATGATATTTCATTGCTTTGATTGTGATTGTCAAATATAATAGCGGTAACACGTTTGCCAGTCGCTTTTTCCTGCTGACATTCATGATGTCTGGAGTGCATGGAAGCCGGCTTTAAAATGCCATCGCTATTAAAGCGAAGGCGAATAGATCATGGTCTGCCTCCAACTGTAGTTTTACTAACCAAGACTGAAGACCAGAGATAAATTTGTACAACAGAAAGTCTGAAACTATACTTTAACAAAACTTTATTTGTAAATGTTGCGGAGTTTGTACTTTGCTCTCGCCTGATTATGTTTTTCGTGACTTCGACCGTTCGAGTTGTACGGGAAAATAGAGAGTTTAAGTTCGACTTCGAATACCGATACCAACAACAGGTCATGTTCATGCGCTGTGGTCGCAAAAAGCACGAGGGCAAGCGCAAAAAGAGCGACTTCGCTCAGTCAATTTAAGCGTAGTATTGCGGAACTGTCCTTTTAGAACCATGTTGATTAATTATAGTTAACTCTCTTTATTTACTTTACTTCACTTTATTTTTCTCAGTTTGTTGTTGGGGGGAGGTTGGGGGGTTCATATAATATTCCATATATTCTACTGTTTTATATATCACGCCCCAACTGTAAGTCAGCTTTTAGTTGTGCGAGGCTAGCGTGTTTTGATTTTAAATAAAATTGATTGATGATGATGATGAGGCACGTAGCGAAGCATCTGAAGTTGAGGGGTGTCGGAGGATTTTACCTGAAATACAACTCGAACGGTCGAAGTCACGAAAAACATAATCAGGCGAGAGCAAAGTACAAACTCCGCAACATTTACGAATAAAGTTTTGTTAAAGTATAGTTTCAGACTTTCAGTTGTACAAAGACCAGAGCTTCAGTCTTGGTTAGTAAAACTACAGTTGGAGGCAGACCATGATCTATTCGCCTTCGCTTTATTAGCGATGGCATTTTAAAGCTTCCAAGCACTCCAGACATGAATGTCAGCAGAAAAAAAGCAGTCTCCTATTCCTCTTTGTTTGAACCGGCTCACCAAACTCTTAAGAGACGGTGAAGTAATTGGTTTTAAATTAACCTTTACCGACTATAAACACAATTACAATCAGCGACCGTTTTCTATGGTTATTTATCGTCAACCAAGTCATAGCCCCTGCCCAGTAAAACTGTTATGTCGCTATTTAGCCTGTCGTGGCAATTCCTCTGGACCT